TTAAAGTGTTTTAAAAATATTTTTTAAGATGATTTTCTGATGACATTCCTAAACATAATTGTCTTTCATTCGTTTAATCTCAAACTGGATACATGGGCTCTTTCTCTCTGCAGGGTAAAAAAGCATTCTCCACAAATGTTCTGTATAAAGAAACTTTTACATAAATAACTTATTTCAAAAATATAGAGGTGAAAGGTAGAAGAGGTACTAGGTACACTAAAAAGGAAAAAAAAAAAGGTATCTTAATGAATTTCTGGAATTCATTTGGCTCCAAGGAAATGAATATGTCATCAACAGTGGGCCATAAATCAAATGTCATCATGTGAATCCAAGAACTGAGGCCAGTTTCAGTTATTTCCAAATAAATGTTTTCTTAATTGCCTGATACTGAGATAGAATTTCCCAGTGGAATTAAAATCAGAACACATTAAACTCTGTTAAAGTTAAAAATTTCTACAAAACATAAAAATTTACACAACTCTTATTTTTCATGTTTGTCTCCCCCAATTCCTCAAAAAGGACAGAATAATTTGCTAAATATTTCTGGTCTGGGTGCCAAGAAACTAGAGCACAATTTCTAATAAAACATTTATTCCATGACAAATATTTTACCTCGAGACACAATTAAAAATAATAGACCTAGATAGAAATATTAGTGATTAAATTATTTGGTAACAAGTCCTTTTGTTGCATACAGTACAGTTAATTCTTGAAACTGGACTATTTCATACCATAAGATTAATACTAAGACTAAGAGGAGTCTTAAAATTTTAAAGCGAAATATAAAATTCGATTGTATTAAAAAAAGGTTCTTCATGAAATATTGCAGTTTATGCCTTCTCGTTTCTACCCTTGCCCTGAAAATGCATTTTTTGATACTTTAACTATTGTTAACCTTTAAAAATACTTACTTTTAAGTAAAAATACTTAAAAATATTTTAAGATAGTAGTTTAAGAATTATGCCTAAATATAAAAGCCCCCAAATGCACGAGAAAGCTTTTTAGTGATTAAAAGTAGTTTTCAGAATGTCCTTGCTATCATCAGTTTTGTATTCTGGGTTCTCTTAAGGATAAATAGCCAACACCTACGTGACATTTTAATAAGGTAATTTTCGGAGACTCTGTGAAATTTCTTTAAGATTCCATGGACCACACATTTACATGCTCCTTAGCTAAGTAATACAAGAGGCGTGGTACTGAGAAAAATTCACTTATCTGTCAAAGAAAAGGTCTGAAAATAACTATTGATGTTTATATCTGGGTGGTGATATTATAGGCAATTCTTTTCATGTATCTATATTTTTACATTTTTCAATCATAAACATGATAAATTTGATAAAAATATACTGCTCTCTAATGTAAAAATAATACCTTCTCACTTGGTAATTTCCCTCCTAGGAATTTACCCCCAATTCCTCCTCTCTGAAAAAATTAAAAAATGTAGACACTGTTATATACACAAAAATTAATCACTGCAAATTATTTACTGTAACATTAAAAACTATATAATGTTTAGTAATCAGAAAGTTAAGTAAAATAGGATTCTACAAGGTAGAAAACTGCAGCTATTAAAAATGTTTCAAAAAGTTATATATAATAAGCAAAATGCTGAGGCTATAATAAATGGAAAAAAAGACACAATTTATACAAATGTACCTAACAATGTGATCTCATCTATGGAGAAGGCATTTAAAAAGATGACTAGAGGGAAATATAACATAATGTTAAGAATGATTTATTCTCATTGGTGGAAGAATTATACATGTACTTTTTTGTGTACTGTTCCTTATACTGTCTACATCAAGACTATATTTCTTTAAAAGTCAGAAAACAAAAGGGCTTGAAGGCACAAATGACTTTTCTGGAATTTTATTTAACAAAAAAACCCAAAAACCTAGTCATAGAAGGAAAAAGTTCTGTGCTAGTAAAGTATCAATTAAAAAAAAAACAAAAAACACTTCTCAAGGACACTTATAGCACAGCAAACTAGCAACCACTACTGCCTAAAATAGTTTAACAGTCTAAATGCTATTATCCTTTTCCCATTATGCTAATTTTATAAAATTAGCTACTCTAATTCATAAATCACAAACCAAGACTACAAAGCTTTTATGAAGTATTATATCTGGAAGCTGGATTTTACCACCACCTGCCTTCCCTTTTGTGTGCAAAATTTACGCAGAGATCTAATATGAGAATACCGCTTCAGATGATGATGTAATTATATTTCTTAAACAATGTTTAGCTATTTGATAGATTAGACCAAAATGAAGGTCTCTTTTGTCTACTGATTTTTTTTTTCCTCTGAAAGGCAAACAGTCTTGGATCTCTCAAGCTTTGTAGAAAACAGAACAAGAGACAGAGAAGAGCCCATTAAAAATAAAAGGGTCCAATTGTTCACGACAGAGATGTTTAAGCTGTGCTCTAAAATTTGCCTTGGGTTCAAACTTGGGGAAAAAGACCTCTAAGTTTTAAAATACGCAAACTTATATTGATGCTAAAATATACTAAGTTGAAGAAATTTTTATAAGTAATAAGCATAATCATGATATTTTGTTGATATTGTTCTTCATACATTGTTCTCACTGGAATTACTGTGGTATGTTCAGTAATGAAAACCTAAAATAATATTAAATAAAACTGGTTTCCACTAGCCATTTATAGTATTTGAAGTTGTTCTATTTATCGAAGACATAAATATTTATACAGTGAATGAACGAAGATAAATACTGCTTTAAAAAACCCTCATTAATAACAAATGGTATACTTTAGGAAACAACTGTATCTCTGCTATAGCTAAATAATTCTAAATTACCATATAAGTTCACGGAGCAACTTTACAAACTTGAGATCTACAGGAACTTTTCATTAATAACCTGTTTCACTTACCCCTCAACTTTAATATCTCCAACCACACCAAATTTCCACAAACACAATAAATGTACACCATTTCTTTTTTCATATGTTAAGGACACTTTTTTTTTAGAAAAGCACAAGGAAGATGGGCTCTAGGGACTAGAAATTTAGCTTTTAATTTAAAACATTTTATAGACATATATTCACACACAATTCAAGATCTGGATGCTCTTTCATAATTTGACCTGTGCCTTCAATTACAAATTGATCTCACTCCATCTCAGAGCCAAGCCATGATTCTACTCCACAGTGCCCTCTAGCTCCACAAGACATATCAATTTAAAAGGGACACTTTGAACTGTCAACCTCAACAGAAATATCAGTCACTATCAGCTCCACTTTAGGCAGTTCTTAAATAGATATTGTATTACCTAAATTTTATCTATTAATAACAGCTGACTTAATTAAATCTTGCTACTAATACCAATAAGAGCTGATGAGAAAAATGTATGAATTGAAGGGTTTCTGTAGAAGCTCTCTGTAACATTCAATGTGATTTTTAGGCAGTCATTAAGCAAGGACTCATATAAAAATACACACTGAAAATGCCTTCTTTTCATGTAATTTAAGGGGAAATGCCATGCATTAGGCCATGGTTCTTAAGACTGGAACCAATATCTTCATTTTAAAAAATGCTGAAATCAGATTAAATAATTATCATTACAAACTTAATCTAAATTGCTAACACTGAGAAATCTGTGAGAGGAAAACTTGTGACCTTGGTCCTGATGCTAAAAAATAAGTTATAATTTGGGCTGCTTCAGGATCAATAGAGGGCAAAAAGTGAATATGACATAATGACATATACTCCTTTCTGAAATGGATTCCTTCACAAAAACAAATCAAAAACAAAGTTAAGCAAAACTTCTAAGAAAAACAACTATAAAAATCACTCAAGTTTTCAAATGCCCTTCACCTTATTCTGCTATTCTGAAAAAAAAAAAAAAAGTCCTACGTTATTTCATATTCAAACTCTAGTACATTCACACTAAGGGGAAAGACTGAAAAGGATGAAAACTGGAAAAAAAACTGAAAAAGGATGAAATTCCAGAACTACAATGAGGCAGAGTACGTCAAAAACACAAGGTTTTATTCTAAAGAATGGTTTTGTTTCTGCCGTTTTTCTAAAGTATTTAATTTGCACGTCTTAAAATAGAGACCCTGAGGAGAGCAGCTTGAGGCAGTGAAGGAAGGGGGGCGGGTTAGGTAAGAACAGAGACTTGTGAGAAAAATATGTTCGGTGCATTAGAATGTGCGGGGTGGGGGGTGGGGGTGCAGCTGAATTCACCGTCGGGAAGCAGTTGAGGGTTTTATAAGTAGAGAAGCAGAATCTGCTGCGGCTTAAGGAACACATATTCACAGCCAGAAGGCACACCTGGTAAAGGAACAACCCTGGATAAGAAAGGCCAGCACACCAACCGTGCAAATACAGAGATGATCATTTTAACCACTTCCATTGTCTGGAGTATTAGAGGAAAATTCCTCAGGCACGAGATCAAGCTAGTCTGAGATACTGTCGGGCAAAGGGAGGGAGAGAAGATGGACAGTCGCCGTCCGGGCATTCTCGGCCTGGGGACCCCTTCCTCACGGCGCCGGATTCACGGGGAACGCAGGATGCTCCGTCCCGGGAGTCTGAGCGCAGGCGGTCCCCTCCTCGGGGCTGGCGACGTCTCCCACCGCGCAGCCCAGGAGCACCGAGACTTCCCCTCCCACCCCACCCCCAGCCGAAAGCAGGGAAGACACGGAACTTAGACTCCCGAGCGGAGGCCACAGACCAGGTCACGACCAGGGTGGAAGACTGGGCGAAATTCCGTGTGGCCACCGTGGGTGGCGTAGGGAAGGCAAAGCCCCAGCTGGTCCGGTTTCCAATCGGACACTCGAGTCTGGGTGGCCGGGCCCCGATCCCTTAGGTGCTCATCGATTCCCTGCACCTCCTGGGTCCTCACAGTCCCAGGCCCTCTCGTCCCAGCTAGTGACCCGGCCTCTCGGGTCTCCCCCGGCCCCCGCTGCAGCCGCCCCTCTCGGTAAACAGCTGCTCTCCCGAACCCTCTCCTCGGACGCTCCCGCCGAGCCCCGGGCCGCACCTCCGTCTTGGTGATCCGGTGCCGCCCCAGCTTCACAACGGCGAAGTTGCCCTTGCCCAGCGTGCCCTCGATGTCGTAGAACCCCACCCGGACCGGCCCGCGCTGCAAGTGCCTCGGACCATCCGCCATGACCATGCTGGGCCCCGCTGCTAGACACGGCGGACTGGAGCGCGGGCTGGCGGGCGACACGGCTGAACTCGGGAGACGGCCACTCGGCTCGCTCCTCCACTCCGTCCCTCCCGCTCCGCAGGGCCCAGCCAGGCGCGCGAGGCGGCTGACGTGCGCCGACGTCAGGGGGCCGGGACAGGGGGGCGGGGGGCGGGACCGGGC